TGATTGCAACTCCATCTGCTACCGAAGCACTTCCGTCCAATTTGCCCGTTCCCGAATTCGCGGGGCAGGATTTGTGGGAGTTAGCGGATGTTATTATGGGGATGGACGATAAATAAACTTCATGGTGCTTCAATTGCAGTGCGGCAGCGATATACGGCCATGGATACGATCTACATACGTAATAGCGGGTTCCGTGTGTAAATTTATGAATAGCTCCCACAAAGTGCTCGCTTGAGCTGGTAGTTACGTCAGAGAAACCATTCACTGGATTAGGTATGCTCTGAAAGTTCTGAGAGTCCCCTACGTTTAAAGGCGCTGTTCACGACAAAAATTGTTTATGAGATTTCCCCATGGAATGAATTCTGCGTTCCCTCGTATATCATATCCGGCGTTATTAGGTCTGAAAATGGCCTAATAAGGCGTAATAAAGGCTCAAAGACCGTATCATGGGTATCCTCTGACGAGTTTCACAGGCATTATTAGAGGCTACCCCATTCACAAGGGAACCACCCGTGCAGGAGGCTGAAGCAACATGTCACGACCCATAGTCACGGTGAAAGGCAGTTCTGCACTGCTCTGGCTTGATGTAGTCAGCTCTAGCAATTACAACGATGAAATCACGTCCGAATACCCCTTCCGTGTTATTTCCCTCATGGTAATCTCTTTCAACCTCCAATATCCCTACTTTTAAAGTACCATTTTTTTCTCGAAATTCGCGAATTTTCTCACCTTCTTCACTACCGATGGTCTATTCCCAACCTATACTTCCGCTTCTTGTATAAAGGAATTACTCAAAATCATCGTGAACTGTGCCTTTAACTGGTCACTCGTTACTTCCAAATCGTGCTTTACGTACTCATCACCGAGAATTTGAAATGTCCGTGCCTGCGAGGTCGTTCGAGGGCCGTCATTTCATTGGCCCCAATTTCGCTTTGCATTATCTAGCAGAAGACGTTCACTTCAAGCACCAGTGTATCCCACTATATGATGGAGACTGAAAGTGTTCTGAGGATTCCACTTGTTTCTAGGTTTGCTGGGCAATCGATTAATATTTTACCTTCCAAGAGGTATTGTAATCTATCTAATGTGAAATCATCTTCCTGTAAGCTCTCTGATTTTCTTCAATCGATGGAGACTATGGTGTCTCCAATCCACGAAGTAGGGTAGTGTGCGACCGATGTTCTAACCAAAGCGAGAAGTCGAAAGGGCTTACTAGTGAGGTTCAGAAATAGGCGAATTTCACGGTGGTTACCTGTTAGCCTACCTGTTAGCCTGGGTCGAATGTCTTTTATGACGCACAGCCATAGTATTGCGTTAACTCCACCCACCACCATAGGGCTCCCACAAAACCTTTTCCGATATCTCTCATACGTAGCAGGTTATTTAGAGTATGTACAGTAGTTTTGTGGCAGTCAATTTTAAACGAAGGCCATACAGTTTGAGATTGTGGGATTGGCTAATCACTGACCATCTTTGTCTCTAAGAAGCAGCTGCGATGAATCGGTCAAGATCGAAAGTAGTATGCTGATTGACTTGCCTGCACCGAACACCTCTCTTCTTCCCCGTGGCTGTTGCTTCAGTCGCAGTCGAATTTCCACAGCATTCATCTTTGCTTCTAGCGACTAGGGCCTTCAGAGAGACGAGTCTGCCGAGTAGTACTAACTCGAATTAATAGTTTTTAACGTTTCTGCATAGGCGGTTTCAAGGTCAAATGCAGTGCTCTGCAGTGGATTTAGAGGATCGGTATGGGGATGGATGGAATTAATCGCTGGATTCGCTTCTATGGTGTTATGTGAGGATGGGCGTCGTAACTGCATCCATTCGCACGATACCAACCAGTTCCCTTCTTAACAGTTAGCTTGGCAGCAGTTTGTATAAATTAGAAAAAGAATATATAAGGAAAGGAATCAGTAGTTCAGCTGAATGTCATTTTCTCGTCATTCCTGCTTGTTGTTAAGTCCATAAGCATCACTACAAAAGTTTCATTTCTCCAAACGCTCTTCTACTCATTTTACACTCTATTTTGCTTGTCTGTGGGGAGGATAACAGTTTGAACATAGTTCTGGGACGTGATGATAACGATATCCAGTAAGAGGCAAAGGTTCATACTTGCGGGAAGGCGCAGGTATGAACATGCAATAGAGGAAGAATCACGCTGATCTTTGTAAGCACGCAGAGTCGACAACGCAGCTCTCACACTGGCAAAAGCCAGTCGTGTTGTGAGAGTTTACTATGAAATCTCCTTGTAGTACGATTCAAAAGTGGTCATTTCGGAAATGCCTGACTTCCGCAGCCACCCCTACATGGGCGGATCATTATTCATAGGATCGGGTGTGAAAAGAGGATGAATGCAACGGTTTCTCCAGAGCCGTAGCCTGAATAATTTAGTCATGACTGCAGTCTGCGTGGCGATGTTTCCAACGACCGCATAATGACCCTCACCGAGCTGCTAGGCGTTTCCGTCAACGAAACCCTCCAAGTGTTTCAGCGCTTTCTTATAGATTCTTGCATACCCACCTTTGCCTCATCGGGCTTGAGCTTTGGAACATTGATTCAAGGGTTTGCAATTAATTTCGTGATTAGCTCTCAGCATTTCCAGGATTTAATAAAAACGGATATCTCCTGCTGCCATTTTTCGATCACTATAGCTGTACTCTGTCTGTGAACTTTTCTAATCACTATTAGAGGGTTTTCGTGTACGCTGCTCATACATTATCCTGATTGGTTTTCTCCGGTCTAATGTCCACTGTGACAAAGAGAGCTCTCAGTGGGATATCGGCTTTCTTTGAAAAAACTCTGCATAGGCTGAAATCGGCACCAGTCTCCATCTGGAGTGGTTTCTCTGATTCTTTTGCTTACTCGGTCACAAATTAGGTAGATGAATTTTCGACTAGCTAGCATTTTTAATGATTGAGTAGTGCACCGACTCGTTTACCCACATTTTCGCCTTTCTAAGAGTAGCTCTTCCGACACATTGACAGTGTAATATTACCCATTTACCTGCAAACTTTCTAGATGCTCCGTCAACTCCTTAGAACTTCCTTTCTGTCGTTCACGTTGTGGGTCTTTATCGAATTGCGTGGGAAGCTAATCACGAAATTCAGTCTCATTTAGAGCATCACGTAATTCATGCCAGTCGCATGGCATAGCAGAATGAGGTGCTTCCTTAATTGCTTAAGTGCTTCCAGTTTCTTCCAAATGAGAATCGTGATCCCCTGGTTCTTCTATGCACACATTGGTGCTCGAGCCGGATGAGCTTAGCTCAATATCTTGCTGTAGGACACTGCTCGATGCCTTACACGCTGGGTTGATTTACAATAGCCACAGATCTCCCGTTGCAATGCTTCGTGTTGTCGTGACTTCTGGGCGTATGGTTGGAAAGATTTACTTTTCGTGATGACGAAAATCTTTGGTGTCCTTACAACTACGGCATTCAAACTCTTCAACCGAATATAGAAAACAAAAAGAGGGAATTACGACAGCGCCTCTCTTTGAGCATCGGTTCTAGTGATTGCTCTCAAAATGTCTCTAAAGTTTTCAGCGAAACAGCTAGGATTAAGAAAAATTTCNGTTGGAAAGATTTACTTTTCGTGATGACGAAAATCTTTGGTGTCCTTACAACTACGGCATTCAAACTTTTCAACCGAATATAGTAAACAAAAAGAGGGATTTACGTCAGCGCCTCTCTTTGAGCATCGGTTCTAGTGATTGCTCTCAAAATGTCTCTAAAGTTTTCAGCGAAACAGCTAGGATTAAGAAAAATTTCGCATATTTATTTGTCTGTTTCTACAAGAACATCCATTGATTCAATATTCCAGTCGCTCAGACCATTTCTGCACTAATAGTGACAAAAATGTCTCTATAGAAGGAAAACATCTCGCAAATATAAAGACTAATTGTAAGAAAGTCATTTGATATATGTCATTGACCGATCCTTTCCTAAGCTTTCGCTATGATTTCTCCAGCACCTTCATAGCTACTTCGCCCTTTTTGCCAGAGTGATCGGTTATTTTTTCAAAGATTTTTTAATTTAATACTGAGCCTTCATATTTGAAACATGAAAAAAACAAGAAGATTTTTATTTATGAAAAAAAAACAATGCTTTTCTTCATTCAATTCTTTTCTTCATTCTTCACTTCACTTCATAGTGTCAAAATTGTCATTCATTATGCCTTTTTCACAACCTGTAGCAGCTACTAGCCTGTATACGGCATTTTGTCTATTTCGTATGTGATTTATTGCTCTTTCCGGCAATCTGAAAAAAGCTTTTTCTGGCTAAGCGAAAGCGCGCCATGGCAATCCTACCTTCCCAGCTGTGTTCTTTCTACATACAACCGTGTAGGTGAAAGTGCTCATTTAGTCCATGTGCTTATGGAGCCTTATGGCTTCTTTGAGCAAACATTCTTTCACCTACTATATCCTACAAAATTAGCCATAGAAGTGGGAATCTGTCTAAAAAACGGGAAATACTTTATTCTTATCCCCTCATTATTGTGCTTTAGCGAATAGAACTTTTTGATGTGGGAAGTTCGCCCTCTCAAGTCGACTTCCTTCGAGAAACATTGGTCCGGTATTCGCTACCGGTATTGTGGGCATTTTCGTGACATGAAAGGGCGACCAAAATTTTCGGTGAATGAGGGGCATGGACGGGGTTTGTACCAAGAGTTCCTCTTTAACTACTTATGTCGGCTACGCAAGCAGCATTTTATGTTCTCAGCATAAAATCTGGCAATCCAGTTACTGAAACGATTTTATCTGTAAATGAATCAAAGTAAAATTTCGATCACTCACATGGTCCGCAAAATGTTAAGTGGGAGGGTTCATTTTACAGCTTACAAGCTGTCGAGTAAGGTCAGGCGTCAGAGACTCGATCGAGAAGCTCTCAAACTGAATAAAAATAAGTTTCTGAACAACGCTGCAGTAAGCCTACATCCTGCCATATCTTCGTCGAATTTCGCTTCCAATTAAAAAATTTAAGTGAAATCAAGTGACGTCTTCAGATGTTGCCGTGGCTGATGACCGCGTGCATCTACCCGTGTGTTGTAGGCCCGGATTTCTGGGGTCTGGTGAATCGCGACTGGCGTATGTGTACTGCCGGTCAAATGCAAAGTCCTGTGAATATCGATCCGACACAATTACTCTTCGATCCGCACCTGGAACGGATATCGATTGATGACATAAATGTGAGTTCTCTTCTGCTCTTTGTAACTGTAATTGTGTTGACTGCCTCCCCTACCGGGATACACCTAAACTTGACAGTAATACCACTTACCACTCCGGGGCCAGTTTGATTAATAGAACCTAGCGGCGTTTTTTAGCTCTGCTGAAGATTCGTAAATGCTACTGTTTCCTAAATAAATTGAGGAGGCTCACTTGATAAGAGCCTGGTAGTGTCACGGACAAAACTTCCACTAACCTCAACTGGGCTTGCCGTATCTGGCATAATCACCTTTTCTAAAGTCTACTAGGTGAATAAGGTCATTTCCCCTACCCCAACATTTCTTTCGTCACACTGTCGCACAAATCGAGACGGAATGTTCTCGTCTCGCTGCTCTGATAACCAAATCGCACTAATAAAACACCCCGAACGGGCGCATAGGGGGATGAAGGGAATCCAAGATGACCCTATAAGGGCTGCTCCATGGGGCACAGCGGATCGATGTAAGGGAGGGGGTTTGTTTTCGGTTTTGCTATTTCATCAACAACAGTAAGGGCAAGTTGGAGATACAGATGTGTTTTTTGTAAGGTCACATCGACCATACAGGCAAATGGGGTGGCAAGTGGCGCAGACTACTCCGCGATTTGTTTTGATAATTGAATACAGCTTTCCATCTCTTCAGAGTGGGTTGAGTGGCACCACACTAATCGAGAATGCTAAAACCACTGACTTATGCGCTAACTANCGAGTCGATTTTCATGCCTAATTCCCACTTTTGATGTTTTTACACGCGCAACTAAAAATAAGGCTGCTCACATTTTTAGTCAACTAGTTCATTATCTGTTCACAACTACCATCCTTTCATTATCGAATCCGATGAAGCCTATCTTTGATCTAGTGACTAGGAATTGCTGATTTCCGTAGCTATTTGGGACGTTACCTTCCATTTCGTTTTGGTTATACGAAAAACCTTTTCCGATTTACCACCATATCGTACCATCTAACTCTAGTTTCACCTTGAATTTTAGGTGGAAGCTACATTTGAAAATATCGGTCAATTGCCGATCATAACAATAAATGAGACCCTTTCCAAAAACTCCATCAATATCACCGGTGGACCAGCCTTACCGTACCGATATCGGCTCCATCAGGTATACCATGGTGCTAGCAGCAACTTGTAAAGACCATCACTTGCACGATGACTATGCTTTGCAGATTTCTGTGCACTTTGGTCAACCAGATGGGGAACGAGGATCAGAACATACAGTGGATCGAGTGAGGTTTCCGGCTGAGGCGAGTTTTCCTACATGTTACTTCTCCTCTTGATTTTTTCCCACATGTCTACTCGAGCTCTTTTCAGGTTCAACTGCTCGCATACAATATCGACTTGTACACTAACTATAGCCAAGCCGTCACACAACCACGGGGTCTCTTGGCGATTGCCGTAATTGTAGATGTGAGTTGCAAGCTCCTACAGGCTCAATGCTTGTCTAGTGCGACATAAATGTCAATCGATTTTTAGATTGGAACAGTAACTGAAGTTACCCTACGGCGGCTGACGGTGGCATCGCAAAGTATCACTTATAAAGGTAATTGTAGGTTACTTATAAAGGTTATCCAAGCATGGTGCACAATATACACATGCAAGATGTTCTCATCTTACAAAATTACGTATTTTCGAGTATGCGGTTTTGTACGGAGCTGCACGCTCGGCTATAGTTTTTACCAGTCGGGCTGCCCGGCTAACTCTCATTCCTGTGAGAGAATCTGCTATGCGTAAATAACACTTTGGATACTCCTTTTTCTTTGAAAGCTCTACATCCTCAGTATCAGCTCCGAATTGGAAGCGATTTTTTCTGTAAGCCGTCTTCGCTGTGTCCGAATAGAACATCGCATAATATCGCAAAAGCGATTATTCAGAGGAAAAAGTATTTGGAGACTTCATGGCGGCTGAGCCTACTATGTTAGCTACCATCAATGTTCCTAGCCAACTCCTTGTGCCTTCAAGCTTCAACGATCTGGGTCTGAACGAACACTATATATTTACACTCCGCCCTTTGGAGCGGAGTTCGGTCCTGTAACCTATCATCAGTGTATATCCTGCGTCCTGTATTCCTACCAAGTCACTCTATATTCATTTTGACATTTCTCTGCAAGCCCGCGACTGCGCTGACACCCACCGTAAAGGTTCCCATCCGGGCGCCTGCGCTCCTACCAAATTTTATTGCTCTAGGTCCAAGAGGACAGGAGTTATGAGTTTTCGCCCAAACCCCCGCCCCCCTCATTGTGGGCGGAGTTCGGTCCTGCCACCCACCATAAGAGTTCCCATCGTGCCGCCTGTACTCCTACCAAGTTTGAGGGCTTCAGGTCCACGGGGACAGAAGTTACGACTTTCCGCTCAAACATTTATTTCGCACAAACCCCGCCCCCCCCCCATGGGCGGAGTCTGGTCCTGCCACCCGCCATAAGTGTTCCCATCGTGCCGCCTGTACTCCTATCAAATTTGAACTCTCTGGGTCCATGGGGACCGCAATTATGAATTTCCGGTCAAACACACAACTACACACACACAGACAAACCAACAGACACACTTAGCGCGTTATATATGGTAGGATAGTCTTCTTACCTGCAGCTAGAGCCACTACATTGTGCCGCTGGCTCTAATCAGAGCTCATCGTATTGTTACCTGCTCATCTTTGAACTGGCTTCTACATTTAGGTTCTTTGTGCTAAAAGAGTCAGACTTAAACCATTGGCCGGCTCATCGCTGCGAAATTCCACCCTTGATCCTCATCCTAGATAATTTGACTCGGATCAGTGTATGAACGCTCTATTCGTTCTTACTGATGTTTCGTACTTTTAAATATAATTGAATGGAACAGCAAAGGAAACTGGTGAAACGCCTTCACGAAATACAGGATGAAGGATGAAGTCTTCGTATCAATCAATCCCGTCTTGGGGATGCGCCCCGCGTTTGACTCCTATTCAGATTCGTCGAGGCGCTTTAAGTACGTATGTGGCCTGTACTATGACTTACAATGGTCAGACGATGTACTAGTCAGCGCTTTTTTCCTCTCAGACAAACATGGGACCGATTTATGGACATCGAAGGGTTGGAAGGCTCGGTTGGCTCCGGCGGATACCAATGCGGGATTCGAACCTGTAACCATGCGTGTGGGATAGTGCTTTACCCGCCACTACATTACTTGCGACCTCACCTTTACGAAATAGCTTATATAATCCATATATAACAAATAAGACTAAAATTCTACACAAGGCAAGAGCGGATTTTGCCGCATGAACCACTATTCTGACATAGGGATCGATATCGACTTCATGGATAGCTTTTTTTTNTTTTTTTTGCGCTCATTATATCAGCGTAAAATATCTGACGCCTAATGAGGGGCAGCTCATAAAATTGCTCTGTTGAATGTAAGAAGTACAGAGTCTTCTCCCGATCGCAAAATCCGGATTCCTTTCAGGTATGCGAACCACTCTACGTCAGCTTCATCCAGCTGGTTTATTACCTCGAACTCATCATTACGTCACGTATGAGGGCTCATTGACGATTCCTGGCTGTCAAGAGACGGTCACATGGATCATCATGAATAATCCCATCTATATTACAAGGGAAGATGTAAGTTTTCATGCATTGATGTAGAGAGCGTCAGCTCAAGGGCAGAAGTGAAAAAGTGCTCAAATAGAAATGCCATCTTGATAAAGGAGCTCTGCACTAACTTAAAAAAAGTTGGATGAGTCTTTTCTGTGACGGCACGGCTATCAATCACTATCCATTTCCTCTTTACTGGGTTCTTCTGCGCTGGTGCTACTATCAATCATTCCTCATTACTGTGTCCTCACCACTTTTATCCCTCGGAATATGTCTTTTTATCGGGGAATTTTGAAAAAACTACAATTAAGAATAAAAGGATAACTTCCATGTTCGGTCTTCTTGAAACCTGGGCATATTGTACAATGTTTTTCACTGTTTTGCCGACAGGTTTGTTAATGCAGAAACCGCTTTATTGGTCGACGTATCGACAAATCGTCGTCTTCAGGACCTGAAAGCAGTTCGGAGCTCCTCCTCTGTGGCTTACCCG